ACCTCTTCAATAGCTTCGCAATTACAAGACAAGTTAAGGAAATCACTACTGTACAAGAATGAATTGTTAGGTTTTGTAAATTATAATCTGTGTTTTTACTAATAGAAATAGGCATAAATTTTGTTTTTGATATGTTTAAGGAAAGAATATTTTGGTCTAACCATTTTTTTATAACCATTAGATCATGTTGCGCTTTTTCTCGCACCTCGGGCCACGACTTCTCCTCCAGGAAAATTAGTGTATCGTCAGCAAACAAAAATAACTTTCCAAAAACATTGATTCTCGATATATTATTAATATATATTAAGAAAAGAATAGGCCCTAAATTACTTCCCTGGACCACCCCATAATCGACAGGCTATATAGGATCACTGTCTGTACCACAAATTGTAACAAATTGAGCTCTGTTTGAAAGATAACTCTTGAACCATTCCAAAGCACTGCCGCAAACTCCAATTGTTTTTAACTTGTTGAGAAGTTTTAAACGATCTACAGAATCAAATGCTTTTTTGAGGTCAAAAAATATTAATATAGATCGTTTTTTGTTGGAAATGGTATCGTACAACTCTTTGTTTACATCAAAAAGAATATCTGAAATATTTTTGTCGTGACGGAAACCGTACTGATGCTCACTGAGAATGTTATTAGAATGAAGATAAGCAACCAACTGATCTTTGACAGCCTTTTCAATTATCTTAGTAAAAATACTCAACAATGAGATTGGGCGAAAATTGTTTTTATTGGTGATTTCGTTGGATTTATATAATGGAAAGACTTTAGCCAATTTGTAACAATCAGGAAAAGTTCCTGAAGTTATGCTTAAATTAACAATGTGTAAAAGTGGAAAGCAGAGGATATGAAAATTTGCTTTAAGGACATCGGCTGAAATACCATCGTAACCAGGCGCGGAACCACCCCGCAGGCCGCAGAAGTAGCGTTGTAAGTCATGTGCAGTGATCGGTTGAAGCGTAAACGTCGTGTCGAGTTGGTAGTCACAGTCATCAACCAAAAGGGCCCAACTTGGGTCTAGTTTATAATATTTTAGTTGACTCTTTTAAAGTCAGCAGAAATTGTGACTGTTATTACCCTTGAAATAATGTTTGTGTAGTACTTTGCAATCCTACCAATGCTTATAGAATCATAAGATTACAATTTTCTGGTTAGAATATGTCGCATAGAGTGGTGACTACTGTATCTTTTTGGTTTGCTTGTAAAACAGGATCAACAGAGATTTTCCATCGACTTAAACAATACGATACTCTTAAATTGTTCATTGCAATAACAAAATATCACACAGTTTGATGAATATTTGTGTGTAAAACGCATACCCAGTACATCTGTATTCTATCTATTTTACCTTTTATTTTTCCAAGACTTTATAGAAAATCACGCATTTCGTGATCAGTGAAGAAAGGCTGTATCCCATGTGTTTTATAGGTAAAGAAGACAAGGGCGGTCCTAGACATATATTTTGGGGGTTCACCGGGGGCCTGGGGGTCATGGAATACCCCCCAAAAAGGAGGGGGGTCCTGGGGTTCCCCCCGGGAATAACATATATATAAATAAATATAGGCTATACAGGGTGATCAACTCAAGGAGGCCACCATTGGGATATCGGAAACGGTAAGAATTAGAGAAAACATTAAATGGAGGACATTCCTTTATTTTTTGTGGTAGTTAAAAATATGATTTTAGTTTTTTGAAATCCAGCCGCCATTTTCCAAAATCAGCAAACAAAAATTCCAAAATGTCATTTCCAAAATGGCGGCCAAATTTGAAATTTCTTATGGAACACCCTATATTTAATCATGTTTTCGGATAGAATAGGCAATTTAAAAACTTTTTTATCCTTGACATTTTTTCGATAAACCCACTCGTTAAGGAAATACAGCCTATGGAAAAATGACTTCCGGTGTACATTTTACATCATGTAGGTTTTACAGTAAGTTTATAGCAAAAATGCGAAGAGTAAAAAAGTCTTACAATTGCATCCACATTCCAAAAAGACCATAAAATTTATTAAAAATATAAATTATAGTATTTCAAAAATGGCGGCAAACTTGAAAAGTGGAAAACTTTTTATTTTATAGTCTTTAAGGAATGTAGATGCAGTTCTAAGATTAATTTCCTTTTTGCAATTTTGCTCTAAACTTACAGGTTTAGGAGCTACATGGTGTAAAATGTACACCGGAAGTCATTTTTCCTTAGGCTGTACTCCTAAAGGAGTGGGTTTATCGAAAAAATGTCAAGGCTAAAAAAGTTTTTAAATTGCATATTCTATCCGAAAACATGATAAAAAAACTAAAATCATATTTTTAACTGTCACAAAAAATAAAGGAATGTCCTCCATTTAAAGTTGTCTCTAATTCTTACCGTTTCCGATTTCCCAATGGTGGCCTCCTTGAGTCGATCAGCCTGTATATGAATTTTAACGGATGGGGTTTTTGGCCTCTGAGGTCCCTACTCAAACGAAAAATTAAATCGGTCCCGAGTCCAGGTGTTACCATAAGTACTACGGTAATAGCTTATTCCCAATATGGGAAATTCGCCAAAAACATAACAGTTAAAAAAAAGAACAATATTACATTCAACCAGCTGTTAGTTAAAACAAATTATATGGGACTAAAACAAATCGATGATTACAAAGATTCCTTTAAAAAATAATTTGAACATCCTACTATTGCATATTTAATTAATCTGCCATCCTCATGCCTAAGAATTGAATGGTCAGCATTACATCTATCTATCTATCTATATCTATCTATCTATCTATACTATTATAAAAAAGAGGTGGTTGCTGTGTGTATGGGAAAAGTAAACTCGAAAAATACTGGTCGGATTGGGCTGAAATTTGGCATGATGATAGCTCACATTCCCGATTAACATATAGGCATATTCTTATTTCAAAAATCCTTTCGGGCTCCGCCCCAGTGGCTCTGGAGTTTCCCATGTTAACCTTATGAGAAATGGAATTATTGAATCTTAACAGCTGTTTCAATTAAACAAGTTGGTTCTGTTCTATGATGTTCAATAGCATTAAAGTTACAAGGATTACCAACAGGGTGCAGCACTGTTATTTCTTTTATATTTATGACAACAGCTAATTTGCAACCAAAAGGTGAGTGAGCGTAACGAACGAACTTCAACCTGGAGGCGAGTTAGCGTAGCGAACGAGCTAACCTGAAGGCAAGTGAGCGCAGCGAACGAGCTCCAAACCTAAAGGTGAGTGAGCGTAGCGAACGAGCTCCAAACCTAAAGGTGAGTGAGCGTAGCAAACGAGCTCCAACCTAAAGGTGAGTGAGCGTAGCGAACAAACTTCAACCAGGACGTGATTGAGCCATGCGAACGAGATAATCTTGAAAATTAAGAAGTTAAACGGGGCAAAGCCCGCGGGTTACAGCTAGTATAGTATAAATAAGTCAACTCTAAATATGTCTTTAAATTTGTTTCCAAATGCTGAATTTGTGTCACAAATGCTGAATGTTTACAGCTGTTATGTTAAGCAAATTATATTGTACTAAAAGCTAGCTTAGAAGGTTAGCGTCGGCTGCTAGACTTTTTAAAAATTAAAACTTAAATTCCAAAAAACTGGGACCCTTAATTATAATTATGGCTTTGACATTCCCTAGTTCTCAAAATTATCTTTCTTTCAACACAAAAATAATGAAAATCCGTCGACTGGTTGATTCAGAATGTGAAAAAACCCCATTTACGTTTTAATAATATATATGATAGTTTGGACAGGTTTCAACCCTTCCGAGGCGTAATACATTTACACAGTTTGTGTGTAGATTACATTATAACTCATAGAATAGTTCTACAATTAAATGGATCTCCTTTTACAAACGTATATAATAACCAGAAATTTTCAGATCGTCCTTGCGTGTATTTCATGCCACAAATTTTAACGAAAGGCTTTTTATTACATAAACTATACCTATTTACAGTGTTGACCAAACAGTTGGCAAGAAGCATTAATAGATAAGCTATATACCAAATATGATAATTTTAGCTCTATTCTAATTATGACAAAACAGGAAGTAACTAAAAGCGAGTTTTGTTGGTGTAGTAAGCGTTGCAGGAGGTCTACTTTACACTGAATCGACGTTCACTTTTAATTGCTTTTGATCTTCCGGCACTGTTGACTCAGCGAAACTGAACTTGTATTTTACCGTATTTCGTTATATTAAAACTGCTGTTGCATTAGATTCCCAATGTGTCAATCGCTTTAACATGGACCACGTTTTTAACACAGACTGTATTATTTGACTTACTGGGACTTTTGATCTACAGACACTGCAAACATTGTAGTTTTTGACCTAGCGGCACAGGTATAAATTATTTGACCTTCCGGCACTGTTGACTTCCAGCAACATTCCCCTATTTTTTCGATTATTTTTGCGAAGACACTTAGCAGAGATAAAGGGCGATAATTGTTTTTATTGATGAAATCGTTAGATTTGTGCAAGGAAATACTTTTGATAACTTATAGCAATCAGGGAAAACTCCAGAAATTATGCTGTGATTGACAATATGAAGGAAGGGATCACATTGTACATTGAAGTTGCTTTTCAAGACTTCGGCCGAGACACCATCACAGCAACAGGGTAAGATTATCTTTATAATAGATAGAATACATTTTAAAAATCTATAAAAAATTAAACATTTAAAATTGTTATTGGCAGTACAGTACTAAAAAAATAGGGTTACACTACTGGTATGTTTAACAGACAGATCTCTTACATGCAGATCCCTTGTCAACTGAAAAGAAAATGATCTATCACAATTATTTTATGATTTACCAACTCTTAGTTACGTATAATTAAGCAGGCCTAGCCTATATGGAATGGAAACTTTAAAATTATGCATTGATAAACAGACAGCACTAAACATATTTTCAACTAATGTTTTAGATAAATGAAATAAATAATATTGATATCAATATGTCGAGAATATGAATTTACTACAAGAAACCAAACTTGAGAGCTCTTGATACTCACTTGTTTTAGGAGTGAGGTAGACAGAGATCGCTGTGATAGGGTCATGAGAAGGATCACGATACAACTCTGTCACCAGGAGATCATTGTCCTTCATGCGGAGAGGAAACTTCTGCATGTCTGCCAGTGAGGATAAAAAAAATCTTTATAGATTGGTTAACAAGACTTAGAATAGAATAGAATAGAAAAAGTGCTTTATTGATTAAACATGTTATGTACATGAAATAAAATACAGTCATTTTGTTCCATAACGCACATACATCAATGGTCATATGACTGTCTGCTGGGTTGGCATAATGTCCATTCTATATTTGACCCATATATCAACTTATGGAGCACTAAAAACAATACATAAAATAAAATCACCCTTCTTTAGGTAACTTATATACATACATATGTACCTACTGTCCCAAAAAGAATGGATCAAAAGTAAACTGGCATAAAACATTAATTTTAAAGATAAATACCCCCGCCGCAGCAAACCTGTCGTCTATGCGAATTTCCATTTGCCTGAATTGATTTTCAATTAATCTATTTATAACATTAGGTTTAACGAGTACCTAGGTTTGCTGCTACAAGGAAACTAAAAAAGTGTGTTTTTAAGTAAAATAATTATAGCTTAGTATAAAATCAATAAATTTGCCAAGTTTGATCAAAATATATCCATAAACTAGCAAACTACAACATTTTACAATATTCTCCATAAGAAAAACGTGGGAATTTTAAATTTAAAATTTTTTGAGTTTTCTCTGTATCCAATAACCGTACAAAAACACTTTGATATGCTTAATTAATTGTTTTGGGTGTAAAAAATGAGAAAAATCTATTTTTACCCCATAAACCCCCCCCCCCCCCCCCCGTTAAACTCTGTTCCCATAGTCCGATCATGGTGGTTCGCGAACTCATTCAAGTTTATCCTGCCTTACACCTTCAAACCAAATTTAATCAAAATCGGACAAAAATTACTTAAGTTATCGTCCGGACACACACACACACATATCTATATATATAAAAGGCAAAGCCCTCACTGACTGACTGACTCACTCACTCATCACTAATTCTCCCACTTCCCATTTACTTAGGAGGCTGAAATTTGGTACACTGATTCTTTAGGCATTAAATAGGAAAACTAAGTTGTTTTTATTCTGATCGGACTCTCGGGCTCCGCCCCAGTGGCTCTGGAGTTTCCCATGTTAACCTTATGAGTACTCATATTTAAATGGAATAAATGAATCTTAACAGCTGTTTCAATTAAGCAAGTTGGTTCTGTTCTATGATGTGCAATAGCATTAAAGTTACAAGGATTACCAACAGGGTGCAGCACTATTTTTTTTTTTTTTATTTATGACAACAGCTAATTTGCAACCAAAAGGTGAGTGAGCGTAGCGAACGAACTTCAACCTGGAGGCGAGTTAGCGTAGCGAACGAGCTAACGTGAAGGCAAGTGAGCGCAGCGAACGAGCTCCAATCTAAAGGTGAGTGAGCGTAGCGAACGAACTTCAACCACGACGAACGAACTTCGTGATTGAGCCATGCGAACGAGCTCATCTTGAAAATTAATAAGTTAAACGGGGCAAAGCCCGCGGGTACAGCTAGTATATATATACAGGGTTAGTAAAAAGTGTGGAGACCCCCTGTTATTTTTTTAACGGCCCGTACTAGAAAAACTAAACTCGGCACATCTTTATGGCATGTTATGAAGTACTTTTTGGGCATAACCGCCACTTGGTGTACATCCCCAAAATGGGGGATTTTGTTACATTTAACTTACAGCTTTCCAAGTCTGGAGACCCCCTGTAAATTTTGTAACGGCTCACACTAGGAAAACTAAACTCTACACACCTTTTTGGCATGTTATGAAGTACTTTTTAAGCCTAATTGGTTCCCAAACCCAAAATGGGGGATTTTGGGGGAACTCTTAAATGTTAAGCCCCATCGAGTGACCCTCATTTTGAAGGTCATAATAAAAGAAAACTAACAACGCAAACTAGAGGTCTCTATCTTAACACAGTAAAATATGGCAGCCAATTGAATATAACATTGCAAGCTATTTCTGATTTCTAAAGATTTCAATCAGCTTCAATTTTTTACTGGATTGAGATAGAAACCTCTAGTTTGCGTTGTTAGTTTTCTTTTACCAGGACCTTCAAAATGAGGGGTCACTCAATGGGGCTTATGATGTAACATTTTTTGAGATCCCCCCAAAATCCCTCATTTTGGGTTTAGGAACCAAGTGGCTATTAATCTTAAAAAGTACTTCATAACATGCCATAAAAAGTGTGTCGAGTTTAGATTTCCTAGTATGAGCCGTAACAAAATTTACAGGGGGTCTCCAGACTTGGAAAGCTGTAAGTTAAATGTAACTTCTGAGAATATCAATTGGCTGCCATTTTTTACTGGATTGAGATAGAGACCTCTAGTTTGCGTTGTTGGTTTTCTTTTACTAGGACCTTCACAATGAGGGGTCACTCGTTGGGTCTTTCCATTTGAAATTTTTGAGTTTCCCCCAAAATCCCCCATTTTGGGGATGTACACCAAGTGGCGGTTATGCCCAAAAAGTACTTCATAACATGCCATAAAGGTGTGCCGAGTTTAGTTTTTCTAGTATGGGCCGTTAAAAAAATAACAGGGGTGTGCCAAAGGCATGGATTAAATTAAAATATTAAATGTCAGCTGGTTAGAATTGATTATAAGCATCTAGACTGCCAGTGCAACTCCTAGGATCGTAGGATCGTGGATCAGATCGAAAAACCCCCCACCACCGCTCAGTGCCGATGGCGTGACGTCAACCATTACTGCAACGATACGGAACTGAGTCATGAGCCTTTGTGGTGTAGTGGATAGCGTGTCGGGCTGATAATCTGAAGGTGCCGAGTTCGTATCCCACCGGGATCTCTAACTTTTTGTCAACAATTTTTTTCATATCAGCAAGTTTGGTTGGTTTGGTTAGGTTATGACAGTTTAATTTTATAATTAAAAGATTGTAAAATTGAATTTGAGACATTTATAATTTTATTTTTAGAACAGAGCTATTTTTCAATTAGTAAACCTTCCTTCGAGTTTATCATTATCAGCAAGTTTGGTTAGTTTGGTTAGGTTATGATAGTTTAATTATATTTAATTCAAATTTAATCTACAAATTATACGTTTTGACAGCGACAGTGATACAGATAACAAATTTCCGCCAACAGTTAGATAAGCTATGCTGATGCGCCGGTATGATTCGGAAGCGTACGACATGGTGCGGTGGTGGGGGGTGATCTACTGATCTGATCCACGATCCTCGGGCTCGGAGTTGCACTGGCAGTCTAGACGCTAGTGAATTGATTTGTTATTGTTTTGAACTTATAATTGTTACTATGGAAATATAAAAACTTTGGATCAAACTCTCTCAACTTATTTCAGTTTTATCAAACTTTTAATTTTATAAAACTAACAAACTTAGACTTTAACAACTAACTATTTGACATGGTAGCAGAGCTGCGACAATCCACCTGTAACTGATCTTTTTTACACAAATTTTAACCCTACAACTTCAACTGTACTTTGAACATGACGACTCGACTGAGGAAGAAGGCTGCCATTCTCACGTCGCGTGTGAAAACTACCCTTTCAGAGGCGACTACACTGCTTTACGCCGAGGACCCTTCGAGGAACTGCTTGCTGACTGTGAATGGCAAAGTTGTACGAGTCCCAGAACTCTTGCCATTTAAGAATGTTACCTTCAAACATGGGAAGGATTAGTTTAGGCAGTTGTACTAAACTGCGTGGATTTTCCAACACTGGCTCGGAAGAAAGACCATTTGAATTATTGGCATGATCATTGATAGCTTTCGTGTTGAACAGCTAGTGAACAGCTAGTGACGCTGGGAACTCTGCAAGGCTATTCAGCTCGCCTAGAAGCCTTGATGGAACAGATTGACCTAGACACAGCCAACGAGTCGGCAAATGTGGAGGGTACCGACGACGCCGAGGACCTTTTTGGTATCGTACTTGACAGTGAGCAAGTAATATCAACCTTGAAGGTAAGACTTGAAGAAGCCTTCAACACGAAAGCTATCAATGATCATGCCAATAATTCAAATGGTCTTTCTTCCGAGCCAGTGTTGGAAAATCCACGCAGTTTTGTACAACTGCCTAAACTAATCCTTCCCATGTTTGAAAGTAACATTCTTAAATGGCAAGAGTTCTGGGACTCGTACAACTCTGCCATTCACAGTCAGCAATATTTAACTAAAGTAGATAAATTCAATTATCTTAACTCCCTTTTGCATGGAGAGGCCAAACTATGCATTGCTGGTCTACAATTATCTGCTGACAATTATGACGTTGCCATTTCTTTACTCCAAGAAAGATTCATTCCGGTATGTTTTTTCCTTCGTGATGGCATTATTAATGTTATTCTTAGGTTGACGGTTACTCATCACTAAAATAAATTAATCACAATTTACTAAAAAATGTCGAGGTATATTTCAAGTTTACATCAAAACTCATCTTCAGCCTCTAGTAACAACATATCAAGTAAATAAACTATGATTTATAATGAAAGAGATATAATAATACAAGAAAGATTTGCTAACAAACAACTCATAATCAATTCACATAACAAAGCCTTGATGGACTTAAGTCCCTTAAAATCGAACGACATTGGAAAACTTAGGAACTTATTCGATGTTATTGACAAACACATCAGGTGTCTACAAAACTTAGGCGAAAATACCAACTCAAATTTCTTTTTTTCTCTGATTATGAGGAAAGTTCCTCTGGATATAGTTATAAAAGTAGAAGAAAACAACGTAGATAATACTCTTGATGCCACTAAATTATGTAGTATAGGAAGAAATATAATCGTAGCTAGAGAAAAGTCACAACTGTTATTAGGTTTTGGATCAACAAAAACTTCCATCTCACCATCAGAAAACGGAAACTACTTTTGTACCTCAGAAAAAGGTAATTTTTCAACTACCCAGGCCCTTCCATCGACCGAAAACAGAACTGCAACCTGTATTTTCTGCAAAGACGCCCACTGGAACGACCAATGCCAGAAGTACAAAACTTTAGAAGAAAGAAAAAGTAAGGTTAAAGGTCTCTGTTTTATTTGCCTGAAGAATGGCCACAACTTAAAAGATTGTAAGGTAAGCAAACCTTGTATATATTGCAAACAAAGGAAGAACCATCATAGAAGTCTTTGTCCCAAAAGATTTTCACAGTCTCTTAAGCCTCCCGAAAATTGTGCTGTCAATCCCGAAGTCTGTAGCGAACCTTCTCTTGTTACGGTTAATGAAAATGTGATTTTGCAAACGGCTAAGGTTTATTTGACGAGTAATGGCTTGACAGAGCCTGCTAAAGTTTTGTTTGATACCGGGAGTCAAAGATCTTAGATTTGCACTAATATTGCATCAAAACTTAAACTAAAGAGCAATAACACTCAAGTTTTATATGTATTTAACCTTTGGTAATAAAGATGCAAAAACCTTTGAAACACAAAATGTAACTACCGGACTCATACTAAGTGATGGTAAGGTTTTCAATCTCAGTTGTAATGTAGTGCCCCAAATCACGGGAAAGTTAAGCAGTACCTCTAGTATTGATGTTTCCCAGATACAATCACGGTTTCCATCCCTTACTTTTGCCGAGGGTCAAAATGAGGACTCAGTCATCGACTTGTTAATAGGAAATTATTTTTATTTTGACCTCGTAACTAATGAAAAGATCGAAGTATACTCTGGTTTGTATCTAATAAGATCTAAGGTTGGTTGGATTTTAAGTGGGAGGGAAAAATCCCCAAATGATGCAAAATCAAACACTTACACAACGTCCTTCCTCACTATGTCACAACCTACAAATGTTTTTAATTTAAGGAATCATTTTGTGGAACCAGACTCACCGTTTGTACAAGATTTGCATATTAAGGACCTATGGAGTTTGGATAATATAGGGATTTGTGATTGCCCTCATCAAAATGATGATGATATAGCTTTGGGCCAGTTCAATGAAACTATTAAGCTTGAAAATAGTAGGTATTTGCCATTTGGTTGGTTGGCCTTGGAAGGAATATCCCCCTGACTTACCAAAAAACTTCAATTTGTCACTTTCAAAACTTAACTCACTTTTGTACCGTTTTAAAAACAATTCTAGTGTGTTTGAAGAGTACGATAAAACAGTCAAGAATCAACTCTGTAACGGAATTATTGAAAAAGCTCCTCCTAACGATGATTTAACGGTTTGTCACTATATCCCACACCACCCAGAAAATGAATGGCCACGAAATGACTTAAATCAAATCACTTCAATGTCAGAACAAACTTATCAAGACGCATTGAACACTTGTGAACTTCCCACGCCTAACCAAGAAGTTATGGCTGCAACTCAAGAAACCACAAGTAAAGGAAGTCCTTTTGACATTGATTTTACAAAGTTCTCGTCTCTAGATAAACTAATTCGAACGACAGCATATTGCAAACGAGCTATTAAAGCATTCAAGAAACTTTCAACTCCATTTACATCCAACAAATTGAACTTCGAAGAGCTTCATGAGTCTACTTTATGTTGGTTGAGGTACATACAAAACTTACATTTCGGCCCTAGTATTAAAAGCTTAAAACTTGGCAGGACTGATCATCTCCAAAAACAGTTAGGGTTGTTTTTGGGTGAATATGGAATATTGAGATGCAGAGGAAGACTTCATAATGCTTATCTATCATCAGAAATAAAATTTCCTGTGCTGTTACCTAAAAATTACCACTTTACCAATTTGGTAATAAATGACTATCATGTTAAACTACAACATGTTGGTGTTCAACATACTTTATCAGAAGTCCGAAGACACTGTTGGATTATTCAAGGAAGATCTCAAGTGTCTAAGATTATCAGACGATGCAAGAAATGCAGAAGATGGGATGGAGGTCCATTCAAAATGCCGTCTTTCTCTCCCCTACCACTGGAAAGTGTTACCCAAAATATGCCTTTTTCATACACTGGTCTAGATAACTTTGGTCCGTTGTACGTGAAGAACAATGAACTCACTGATGACTCAAGAAAGGTATATGGTTGTATTTTCACATGCTTAACTGTTAGAGCTATTCACCTAGAACTGGTCAGTGATATGACGTCAAGTGAATTCTTGTTGGCTTTGAAGCGATTTGTAACTAGAAGTGAGGAAATTTTAGTTTTTGTCCTTCGCCCGGAGTGTGCCAAAGGCATGGATTAAATTAATATATTAAATGTCAGCTGGTTATAATTGATTTGTTATTGTTTTGAACTTATAATTGTTACTATGGAAATATAAAAACTGTGGATCAAACTCTCTCAACTTATTTCAGTTTTATCAAACTTTTAATCTTATATCTCCACACTTTTTACTAACCCTGTATATGTATATATAACTTATATATAAATTTGAACGAATGGTGTTTTTGGCCTCTGGGGACATCAAAATGAAAAAGTAAATCGGTCCCGGGCCTAGGTCTTGAGACCTACAGTATAGGGAAATTCGCTAAAAGTTAACTTTGTATAAAATGTTTTCCTTATCTTCCTAAGTTTCTTCTAACGTGGTTTTAACGCCTAACCTTTACATGTTCTCCGTTATTTCCAACTCTGATCACACATTAGCAAAACTATTATATATAAACCTTCGCAAATACAGTATCTGACAGTTTCGAGCCAATACAAATATGCTTCGCAATTAAATGTCACCCGGATTTTACATGTAAAATGATTTTAAATGATCACATAAGTGCCCAGCTCAGTGACGAAAATGAGCTGCTGATTCTTCACAGGAGTTATTCCAAAAAAGACGGAACGAGCCATATGACTGCTCCATCCAAGGAAATGGCATCCGTAACATGATTCAAGATTCAAGATTCTTTATTTCCAATAATGTACAATAAATAAAAAGTGACATATTTTATAAAAGGAAAAAATATTCCTCACAAGACTACACGTCTGTGTGTGAGGAAGAGTCCATGGCACTCGCTGGTCACTCTTAAAAAATATATACACTTACATAAAACAACTTTTCTAGTTAACAATATATAACTTATTCATTAAGTAAAATTCAGTATTGTACGTAAAAAGAAAGGCAAAAGTTCTTTTAAAAACCTTAGTAATTTGATGTGAGTTTAAAATCATGATAGACCTTCATGTGAGTGAATTATATACAGAAGAAAAAAAACTAAAATGCATTCGGATTCCTGTATAGCTTACAATTAATTGTGGCATTTCAATATTGACAAATAACTTTTTAATTGCGTAATGTGTGGATAAAATTATGTTATATGTGTTAGAGGCAGTTGTTGCCCGTTCGTATTCATTGCAATCGCTTTGTAGGGACAGCTCGACCGGTGAGGGAGAGGCCGGTTGCTGGGAGAAGTGACGATGAGTAGGGGGGGGACTGATGCGCGAGCGCGGTACACAGACTACCTTACCACAGCGTGTCTCAACGCAGACTAAGCTCAGCGGCGTACTGCATTACCATTGACTACCACGACCCAAGCGTCAGCGGCCCGAACTACGTCGTCAAAAGCGGTACCGTCTAATAGTATAGCGGTGGGCTCTCTGGTTAAGGTTAAAACTAACTACATAGTAATAAGCACATGGTTTTTCTAGAAAAATATATTATTTTGAAAATTTTATGTTGACAAATAAATGTTGCAGAGCAGGTTGAGTGAATGTATGTTTGTGTAACAGAGGTTTATTACGCCCGTCCGCCTAATTATCCCACCAATTCCAATGGTGAACACGGACCATTTTTCCTCCACAAAGCGCGCTATTAAGTAGAGCATTATACCATATACATCGATGGCCAGGGCAGGGGGTTGGTACCGCGCGGACTCGTGGCAGTGCGCGAATGGTGACGGCTAAAATAACAACGTTTTTAGAACGGCATGAACACTAATCACGCACTGAATTATGTTGTTGCTATGTTATTATGTTCGTCTTGTAACATAATTAGAAGGATTTTAAAATTGTACACCTAATAATGATAATAAAAAAAATTAGAAAAATATGTGTGTATATTAAATAAAGAAAAAAAGGAAACATGAAAAAAAGTTAAGAATATCACAAACAAAACATTGAACTGTTTACAAGTAAAAAGGTAAACAAACAAATAAGCGCTGACAGCGATTTTTTGTGACAGCCGGTAAAACTGACCAATGTTATAAGAAAAGAGCCCCCTCACCCCTCCCGTTTATTTTAGTTTATCTATCTTTGAGATCGGCGAGCGATATGATTGATCTTTCACTAACCCCCAGACAAAAATAAATCACTCCACTTTCGTCTCAATAAACCATTCCAAACACTGTGCTTTAATTTAAACTGCATTTCCATATTGCAACTGTATGTTTTGAAAATTCAAATGTGCCAACAACTATGGAACTGCTGATTACTGTTGAAAGGTACTAAAAAAACTTAGAGATGCAAGATTTGAAATGAGCCATAATTGACTTTTCTACGACCCTTGGTAACACGTATATTAACACGTTTGCTCCGACGTGGCTACCGGTGGCACATAAATGAAATTTCAGTCAAAAAAATTTGTGTACAAATTACCATAGACCAAAAAGAAAACTAAATTGTTATAGGAATAGATGTAATTAATTATTTATCAACTTTACAGTTTACTTGTACAGTTTCAGTAACAAAGTAAGATAATAATTATGATAATTAGTAAAAACGCTATTGACTAGTGAAATATAAAAGCCCTAAAATGAAATATAGGCAAATACAGCATTGTTGTGTTGTTACAGTCCTTACCTATGTAGTATATAGATCCATTGTTGCAGCCCAGCAGTAAAAAGGAACCAGCCACATCGAAGGATGATATCGGCACAACATCCTGTATCTGCCAGTGCTGTGTCATGGCGTGCCACACTCCTATCTTACCAGTGGGAGACAGAGCCACCAGCTGACTGCCAATGAAGAACAGGTACTCCACTCTCACATTCAGATTGAATGTACCTGCAAATGTCATCAACAACTGATGAGATAAAATACAGTAAATACACCTATCCAAAGAACAAGCCAACAGCTAGCTATACTTATATAATGATTAAATAATAGTGAACATCTTGCATGAATTCAAGCAATTGCAAACTATTACAGGAGTTATTTGATAACCAATAAAACTCATAATTTCCGATAAGTTTAAAAGAGTCAACTAAAATATTTATTTAACTAATGGAAATACTAACAATGTCCATACTAGTTCGATATAATCAAAATTTCTTGTAGATATTTTATAATTTTTTAAAAGCTGATCTTGTTTTAAGAGTTTTCTACAAATTTTTCCCACTCATAGCCACATTAGGTTGTCCATGATTATATTCGTCATTAGGGGTGTGCGAAGCAGCAAGAAATTTTCGATTCGAAGCAACGATTCGATTCAAAAGATTTTCGATTCGATTCGATGCAACTCGATTCGAAGCAATACGGTATTTTTCTATTCATAATTGTCAATTGAGTGGATTAACAATAATTAAAATTTACCACATTTGTGTAATGCAAATTTTTGTTGATGTGGTATTAGGCCTATTCATACTTAACATATGAATTTTAGGTGAAAAAATATTTATTTTCAATCATAGGGATTAGAATAACCTGTGAGCTGGTTTACTTGCCTATTTCATAATTTTTACTTGGAATTGGCTCAATTGCAAGAAAGAAGAAAATATTTTTTTATCAAGACATTAATTCTCATTTTAATAACTGTTTAAATAACTAAATAGGTACCGTCAGCTAAATTACAACAAATTTGAATGGAACTTAATATAAAAAGACCATTAAGAAATAAATTTAGCCTACATATCCTGTGGACCTGCTTCAGGACTGCAAGCAAGAAGAAAATAAAAATAATATGTTTCCACCATGCAATATGTATCATTCATTCCTTGCCTCCTAACCTCCTTAGTATAATAACCTCACACTTACATTATTTGTTACATCATCATAAATAAAGAATTATCTATTATTGGCATCAGTTAGTAGGCTTACAGCTTTACATAGGCATTATTTTTTATAGGACCTAAAAAAGTCCTAAAAGTGTACTAAGCAACATGACAAGTGGAGAACTCATTGAAGAAAAGATATTGTGTAAACTAATTTAGGCCCTACTATAAAACTAAAAAACAGTAAATAACACACAAACATTGTTTATGGTATAATTATTAAGGACTGTAAAAAATGCATATCATGTCATACAGTAGTATAGACCTACTGCAAGAGATTAAAATCCTAAAACAACTGATTTTGATAGCTAATGAATGAAATAAAAATCCATAAAATAAAGCCAAACAAAATCACAATTAATTAGGTACCCGAAAAGTAACTCTTAAATAATATAAAGTAGATTAAAATAATATTAAATCAAGAGATAAGAAAGTTAAATGCTAACTTCTAATGCCCTTGGCAACACAGGTCAATGTTTTTAAACTACCCTCAATGTTTTTGGAACAGCAGGGTCTTTTTCTCTGAAGGAAGGGTAGTAGTATGTCAACAAAAACAATGAATCACTCTCCCCAGCCAAGCCCAGGCAACGATGTGTGCATTCAAGGTCATAGACCCTACCCCTCCCCTCTTACACCACCCGGTTGCTACCCAGTTGCTTCAATTGCTGACAAAATGCAAGTGATGAAACAAGGAAGTAGAGACAAAAAAATATATTTCTTTATTCAAAAACAAAACTGTTACAGATCATTTTCAAAGAAATTAATTCATTGTAATTTGTGAGTTGTAAATATTGTATTGGATCTTAGAAATATATTTTTTTAACCCCATCTAACCAAGATACAGATCTGTTCACTATATCAGATATTTATTTTGTTTATAATTTATTATGTAAAATACTAAAATATATTTTAAATTAGGTATGGAATAAATAATAAATGATTAAACTAGTATGTCTGGATAAATAGTCTATTCTTTTGACTTTGTTTTCTTTGCACTGTTAGTGTTGCGTAACAGCTTTTGTCTTGTCAATCTTGTCAGTAGACGACTAGACTAGCTCTGGCTAGTGGCAGTGCGGCAATTGCTCTGTTGTGTCTTTATTCGTGAGCCAACTTACTAATCTTTAATTCTCATTTGAACATTTTAATTCCTCTGTAATAATAGATATAATAATATAAGAGTGTTTCTTTGGAAATAAATTATTTTTTTTTTTTCTCTTGCCCGAACAAAAATTGGGACCGGCAGACCACTAACAAAAATACCAAATGTATCAGTCTATAACATTAATCTTACTAGTTAAGTATTAAGTAACAATTTTTCAGACTTATTTTTAAAATCATTTTGGAGTGACCTATCTTGTTTTGGCTAAGTTTACAGTAGTAAAATATTTTTCACACTGCTTACATCAAGACAAAAAACAAAACCTCTCATCATTTGCAATGTCAAAACGAAAAAATATAAAACAATTAAAGCTATATTTAATGCAAAGAATGTATTAAATAAGAACGCCTTCGTAAAGGAAACGCAACAGCAACGCGCTCCTGTATTGCGGGTATTGCGTTGACTTTCTGCAGGCGTTTTTCGTATATGGATACTGACTCCCTCATGAATCGAATCGTTTTTTGACCACCACTGAATCGAATCGCGATTCGATGCATCGAATCGAATCGAATCGAAATTTCGATGCATTTTCGATGCATCGCACACCCCTATTCGTCATTGATAACGTGCCTGCATGGTACCACCATTGTCGCCAAAATGTTTATGAATTTCTGTAATAAAAAAAATAGCGATAAAATTTGTTCACATTACTTAAGAACTACCTGATTTCCTGCATAACCACTCTGTCACAATTTTATTTCCTTCAGTTGGTATTCTTTTGGTTAGTTGCTGTAATAACGTCAATTATATTTACCTGAGAAAATGCAAAGTTTAAAGGCCTGTTGTTGTTCAGATGTTTTTTTATGTTTTCCTTAACTGTGAATAGTAATTGAATCTTTCAATGAAAGTTTTAGTAAAGGTTTCTTGGATGTAGTCATATTCTTCTAAAATCACTTGACTTTTATGAAAACATAGGCATATATTTAATGTCTTTGCCGTACCAGTTTTATTTAGCCTTAGGGGTTTCCTCTGCAATATATCATAAATGTTATCCATGTTTCCTAATAAAATTGAGAGCACTTCCGCTAACATCCTTGTTTATCGTTTGTAGGAATCTTCAACTTGTAGGCGTTCTTAATTACAGTAGACTCCCTCTAGTTCGGCTTCGGTTGGATCGGCCGCCGGATGGTCCGGCCCGGTCTCAGGGGGACAAGTCATATGTCACGGGCGAATGACCTTCGACAGGATTGAACTTGAACGTTTAGTTTCCGGCCATAGAAGTAAACAATTCATGTCAGTTTAGTTTACGGGTGCTTCTGTGGGTGAATTGTTGCATATTACAGATATTACCTATGTAAAACTATGTTACATAACCTCAAAAATACCAAGAACATTTTTTATAAATAATTTTTCTTTGGTCTAATATGTTGAAATGCAGTGTATAATTAAATATTTTGGACCACTTTTTTATGCAGTAGGTTCCCCCATTATTGTTTTTGAAACACCACCGTTTATTTGACAAAAATAAATTAAAGCAAAACAACGAAATAGCCATCGTTAGCTTCAAGGTCAAGCTATCGCTTGCAGTGACAATCTGCTCACACAAACCTATGTCTGCTGTGCACTTGCTTGCTATCTCACAACAGTTTGTGATTGGGTGATTAGTAACCATGGCAACTTGTTGAATGTGTGGATGAAGAGAAACCAAAAAGGCAAAGAAAGAATAGAAGAACAAAGAAGAAAGAATAAGCGGTGTTTTACGTCATCCAATGTTATCTTTATCCTATTTTACGACTGTCCTTATTATCTTTAAGACTAAGTACTATGATTTTATGCTGTTTTATGAACCGTCTAATGTTTTTATCGACATTCTTATGTTCTGAAACAACATTTAGTAGTAGCCTATGCTGACTACGGTAGCTTGCAGTACTAGACTTTCTATTGTTCTGTTCTTTACGTGATTTATTGCTGTACGTACAGTGTTGTGTAATTTTTGTTTTGATTGAGTAAGCGTGATTTTAAACGTTTCAGTTTTTATTACTAAACCAAGGTTATTGACTCTACATATCACGATTGCGCAATACTATCATTTGTATTTTGATTATGTAAAATGCACTAAATCCGGTTAGTCCGGCCGTTTTGTAGTTCGGCCAGTGGTCCGGTCCCGAGGTGGCCGAACTAGAGAGAGTCTACTGTATATAAAGAACAATACTGGATTCTTTAAAAAACATTATCCCTATTTATTCTACTTTGTGGCGTTCTATGATTGTTCTATGTTTCCATAGTTTGCAAATCGGTTTTTTCAAGGATTGCTCAAGAAATACAGTAATGGGTCAATTCATATATCTTATTTGGTGAAATACCTATATAAAATTGTCCAAGCTTTCTCGATTTTTTTATGATATGTACGCAAACCCAAATTCAAATAGTTAATATTAAATTTCAACCAAATCAGTGTTTATACATGCTTTTCCTTGAATTGCAAAAATAAATACAGGCCTAAACAGCAAATAAATTATCCAGCTGATCATAATGTTAACAAATATGTTCTTCATAAGGATAACATAGGAACTTAAAAACCCACTATGGAAGAGCCCAAGTGACTTTTTAAAAAATTTAAGGTCAGTTTGCAAATCTACATGACACGCTCTTTTGAATGAGACGTTAATGGTCAAAATCGGTTAAGAAATGGCGGAGGAGTTCAAAGACAAATTTCGTGTTGGCTTAATAATTATATAGATTAATTATTGTACTAATTGCAGAGGCTACATATATTTTAACATTACATCATAACTGGGGGAATCACAGTGGAGCTCTGCAGCTCCTCTTTTTAATTAAAGAATAAGTTTTTCCTACAGTTACCTGAAAAACAGGCTTTCTTGAACTGACTACAGCACACAAAGTAGCTGATTCCT